CATATAAACCGGATCGCACGGGATATATCGCAGGAGGTTGATCCCTCTGGTGCATGTCTTGAGAGCACGGATAATTTCATACATAAGGAGAAAATCTTGAGGATTGAAAATAGAAGCCAAAAAGACTCTTTAAGGATTGAGGAACTTGTAAAATCCTTTAAAGAGGAACTTTCTCTATGCTTTGGTGATCAGCCATTAAAGTTATGGGAAAAGAACGGTATATACGCTTTTCTTGAATTAATAAGGAAGGATGATAAGATTGTGACAAAATCTTTTCCTTATACTCCTGATGTAGAGGAGGAATTCAGTAAACAAATACCGGAATTGCTAGAAAAGCAATTGATACGCGCCAGTAAAAGTCCACACGCTTCGTCAGCATTCATGGTTATGAATAGGGTTGAGCGGGAAAGAGGAAAAGCACGGATGGTTATCGACTATAGGCAGTTGAATGAGAAGACCATTGACGATGCCTGTAAGATACCAAACAAATCGGCTTGTTTGAATAAAGCTAGATTTGGAAAACTCTTCTCCAAATTTGATCTAAAGTCGGGATTTTGGCAGATCAGGATGGCGGAGTCAAGCAATCCTTTGACGGCTTTCACCTGTCCGAAAGGATTGTTTGAATCGATGGTTTTGCCTTTTGGACTTAAGCAAGTACCATCAATATTCCAGAGGAAAATGGATACAGTCTTTGGAGACTTATCTAACTTTTGTATAGTCTATGTTGATGATGTTTTGGTTTCTAGTAAGACCAAGGAAGAACATGTAAATCATCTTAGACTGGTGTGCAAAAGGTTCCTTGATAATAGAATGATTCTATTTGAAAGAAAGATAGAATGATTTAAGAACAAGGTGAAGTTCTTAGGCGTTGAGATAGGTGAAGGAGGTATTCAACTCCAAGAACATATCTTAAAGAAGTTGCTGGATTTTCCAGATGTGATGGAAGATAAGCATATGCTATAGCAATTTCTTGGACTAGCCAATTACATGCGCGAGTACGTTCCTAATCTCGCTATTGTAATTAATGGCTTGACGCTTAAGGTTAGTGACAAAGTGCCATGGAATTGGACACTTGAAGACACTAATTGTGTTAAGCGGACTAAGGCCTTGACAAAGCAGCTAAAACCGCTAAAACTCCTGGAAGATGAAGATAGATTAATCATAGAAAGTGATGCATCTCATCTATATTGGGGAGGAGTGCTTAAGACTAAGGGTACTGATAATATTGAACGGATTGTTCGATATGCGTCAGGAAAATTCTCTCCTGCTGAGATAAACTATCCTGTTCATGAAAAGGAAGTTTTAGCAGTGAAAGAATGTATTGACCGATTTCGATTGTTTGTAATCAGTTAGGAATTTACTTTAAGGACAGATTCCAAATATTTAAAAACCTTTATGAAATTGTCTTTAAAAGATGACAAATCTAGATTAATCAGATGGCAAATTTGGCTTGTAGATTATAAAATCAAGTTTGAATATATTTATGGTAAATCTAACTTTGTTGCTGACTTTTTGTCCAAACATTTCTCTGAAGAGTTGCAGGATAATGGCGGACAAGAAGGAAATTGAAAATCATTTCTCATGCTCCACGTGTAAACAACGAGGACACTTGAGAAGAAATTGTCCTTGAAGGTTACTTCGACTTCAAAGGTTACTGCTAAAAAGGAAAAGACTACGGATAAGCGGGTGGCTTCTTCTTCTAAGCAGGTTCAAGAAGGAAAGAGTCAAGAATATGACTTTGATACTTCGGAAAGAAGAAACCCCAAATTTCAACGATTGCAGGGTGAAACTTCTACGAAGGAAAATACTTCTGAAAAGGAGGTTACTCCTAAGAAGGACAAAACTCAGAAAAAGGCACCAGTTTGCTGGTCTTGTAACCAGGAAAGACATGAACTGGCTAATTGTCCACTGCTAAAGACAAAAATTTCTGAGGAATCTTCGTCAAGCGCTGTAAGCGTGGTGACTCCACACACTCCACAAAAGAAGCGGTTAATTGATGCGGATATTTGTGAGAGGTTTAGCTTCCCAAAAGGCTTAAGATTAACTTCAGCTAGTCAAACACTCTGGGTGGATTTGGAAACCCAAATTAGCATCGCAATGGCGACAGGGCAAGTGGAAGTACAGCTGCAGAGGTGTTTAGAGAAGCTAGCAAAAAGGTTAGCATGGCTGGAAGCTGATAAATTGTTTTATGAGGACGAGGAGTTTAGAGGAACTTCTCAACTCTATGATGCAGGAATTCAGAAACTTGAGGTAATGAGAAAATGTCATTTGTTTGACATGTCAAATCTCAAACTCGAGAATTGGAATGAATTAATAGTGAAATTGGGAAAAACTGACTTGACAAATTTGGTTCAAGGATTATCGATTTATCTTAATGGAACTATGGAATTGTTCGTTCAATGGAAAATTTTTAGAAAAGGTTTCCACAGAGATCTTTTGACTAAAGGATGGATCGATATTCGATACAATGCAAATTGACGTACAGGAAGCGATGGTGGATCCGAATATGCCAGAGGCGGTTAAACAGACGCTCTGTGTATTGAATCGGAAAGTCGACACATTCACTTGCTTGATCACTTCCTCATTGCAAGAGAACTACGATGTTCAACCTGTACAGATATGAGAATTTCTTGTAGGAGAACCATGGTATCGCATTATGTTAAATAGTAAGGTAAAAATGAGTTCTTATGCACTAGACGAAATTCAAAAGAAAGAAGAGGAGGATTGGACCAGGTTACATATTGCAAAAATGTTACAGGTAAAGTCCAAACTGGAGGAGCTCGTTAGGGCAAATGCTACTGTCCATATTCAAAATGGAATTGTGGTGGTTATACCAGAGGTATGCATTGATCCAGGATACTCTTTTTCAACATAATCAGGCCCAGTTAAGAACGCTATTGGAAGGGTTTGATTTAGTTCATCTATCGAAGTAGGCCTTGATGGAAGGAACTATTGATCTTTTAAGGTTGTTCTTAGCCCACGATCAGAAAGCCCAAGAAGATGACACTCTGAAAGATTTTATTGACCTGATCGAAGTGGATAACTTCAAAGGTTGATGCAAATCTAAGAGGATGGAGATTTGGACAACCATTAAACGTCCAACACATATACGCGACGTGTATCAAATAGCGGAATATAACACGTGAACATACAGGATGTTGCCGACAGATTTAAACGACTCAAATCTAAAGAAGCGATTGGATGGTGATGCATTATCTATAAATTTTATCTTGTAAGACACGTGGGAGACATGCGGACCCCAGTGTCATTATATGTATTATTATGTTTTAGATTAGTCAAAAGTAAATTTTACTTTTCTTAATTTGTAAGCTTTACTTTTAGACTTTGTACCTACTTTTGTTTATTTCTTTTTCTTTTTCTTTTCACGGATTCAATTGTAATTGAAGTCCGGATTCTTCTCTATATAATGAGAAGCATTTGTACATTACAAAAAAAGGGAAAATCAATAATATTTTCAGTTTGTGAAAAAATTCTCTCAATCTTTTGTTTGCCGTAAATTGTTCACTCGAGACAAGAAACAGGTTCTATTCAAAACAATTGAGATCCAGGTATGAATTATTTTTGTTAACTGAATCTATGTGTTTTCCTTTCCCAATTAATTAACTAGGATTGTTGTTACTAGTTATTAATTGTAATAATATTTGTTTAACAAGATATAAACAAATATTATGTGGGTGTAAATGGTATCAGACCGGTGAAACTAAGGCAAGAAGTAGATCACATTGTTTTCCAGGTTTTGGAAACAAAGAATTGGTGGTTGAAATCTTCGAATGCAGAAGAAGTGGATGAAGCTTTTAATGTTTTCTTTCAAAGGTTATATCCTAGTCATCATATAAACCGGATTGCATGGGATATATCCTAAGAGGTTGATCCCTCTGGTGCATGTAGTCAAACACTCTGGGAGGATCTGGAAACCCAAATTAGGATCGCAATGGCAACAGGACAAGGGAAAGTAAAGCTGCAGAGGTGTTTAGAGAAACTAGCAAGAAGGTTAGCATGCCTGGAAGCTGATAAACTGTTCTATGAGGACGAGGAGTTTAGAGGAACTTCTCAATTCTACGATACAGGAATTCAGAAACTTGAGGTAATGAGAAAATGTCATTTGTTTGACATACCTGGATCTCAATCGTTTTGAATAGAACCTCTTTCTTGTCTCGAGTGAACAATTTACAGTAAACAAAAGATTTGAGAGAATTTTTTCACAAACTGAAAATATTATTGATTTTCCCTTTTTTTGTAATGTACAAATGCTTCTCATTATATAGAGAAGAATCCGAACTTCAATTACAATTGAATCCGTGAAAAGAAAAAGAAACAGAAAAAAACAAAAATAGGTACAAAGTCTAAAAGTAAAGCTTACAAATTAAGGAAAGTAAAATCTACTTTTGACTAATCTAAAACATAATAATACCTATAACTAGCCAATTACATGCGCGAGTATGTTCCTAATCTCGCTACTGTAATTAATGGCTTGACGCTTAAGGTTAGTGACAAAGTGCCATGGAATTGGACACTTGAAGACACTAATTGTGTTAAGCAGACTAAGGCCTTGACAAAGCAGCTAAAACCGCTAAAACTCTTGGAAGATGAAGATAGATTAATCATAGAAAGTGATGCATCTCATCTGTATTGGGGAGGAGTGCTTAAGGCTAAGGGTACTGATAATATTGAACGAATTGTTCGATATGCGTCAGGAAAATTCTCTCCTGCTGAGATAAACTATCCTGTTCATGAAAAGGAAGTTTTAGCAGCGAAAGAATGGATTGACCGATTTTGATTGTTCGTAATCAGTCAGAAATTTACTTTAAGGACAGATTCCAAATATTTAAAAATCTTTATGAAATTATTTGTCAGATGACAAATCTAGATTAATCAGATGACAAATTTGATTATGCAAGAATCTAAATTGTTTATAATTTGCAGAAATAATTAAAATTGTTAATTACATCCATTAAATCCAGTACGAATGCCATGCAAAATTTTTTTATGAACCTAGCATAGAATAGCTAGGTAGGTCACAGATCCAAACGGACCAACCAAGTTACAATGATAAAAAGTGGGTTTAAATAAAAAGCTACTAAAACACCATTTGGATAAACTGAAGATAGAATATTAAGTTACAATGAAAAGCTAAATCTTTTTTGACAGAAGTAGATTACCCTACCACCATACGGACCAACAACCCTAACCAAATAAATAATCAGAGAGGAAAAATCAATATAGACTTCACTCAGCAAACTGGGAAAAGATTAAAAAGTTAAGATGCATACTTTCAACAGCCTCCTCTGTACCAAACCGTAAGCTTATTTTGTTTCCAGAATCTACATCACGAAGCTCCATCTATGATAGAGAGTATGTGGCATGTTAAATTTCCAACAAAAAAATTATAAGATCAAAAGAAGGAAGTTGCTGTATCATAGCAACATAAAATCATCACACTAACCAAGCACAGAAGTCCAATCATTAAAATCAGGATACAGGCAACCACAATGAAGAATGGTAAACCACAAATATACTACCCACTAAATTAATGAGTAAGACAATAATAATTTCATTGTATAAGAGAGATAAAAAGATATTTTAAAGTAAAATTGCACATTTTTGTGATTCATAACCTTAACGGAACCAAAAAAAGAAAATTATTATCCAATATCTACAGTCCCTGCAGTGCGTGCAGTCAGCTTTGATCCATAAGGGCAGTTTAACATCCTTAGAAACTCATTTGAGTAGTTAATTTCTAAGTTATATAACAATTACAATTCATATTTTTTTATAAGTCTAATGTTCAATATTAAAAGAGAAGTTCCACATTACAAAAAATCAATCCTAATAATGTTAGACCCACTGTTTCCATAGTACGGCTCTTAATATGATCTGTCAACTGTTAAGTTTTCTAATGAATATCCCACTGATTTGGACAAAAATGGGTTCAGAAATAACCTGCATCATGGCTCCTCCTCTTCCTCGCTGCTTATGTTGTGCTTCTATGACCTAAACCAAATTCTCAAAGCATCAATTACATTACATCATAGCCTTTCACAAGCCTGACTGTAGAAAAAGATAACATTAAAGCACAAAATGCATATACCTGGTAAAACTTCCCTGAAGTGAGTATCATCCACCACAATTATGAACACAAGATAACTTCGTTAGTTCATAATATATATGACCACGAAAGAGATTAAAACTCATTAACAATTAGTCTTTGTACAACTAAAAAGGGTTTTCATATTTTGCAGTAGTTAAATGAAAAAGATAAGAAGTTTGTTCTAATAAAAAAAGCCACTTAAAGAGTAAGCTTGGAGAAGCACTTAGACAAGTGATTTTCTACAAAACGTTTTCTCACGCAAGAAACATGCTAATGGTTTGTTTGGGAGAGCCCTTGACACCAATATACGCACTTATGTATCAATTTTATAACTACAGACCCAAGTGTTTCATGTGATCAAAAAATAAACTTGAAGAGCTATTACAGTCACAGGTGCTTTTCTAGAAAGAGCTTTTAAATACTCGTAGAAAGCACTTTCATTCGAAATTACTTAAAAGTTAAAATCACTTTCCACAACAAAATTCCTAAATTCCATTTCCCCAAAATGCTAGCTGATTTTTTTCTTCATCAAAAAATTATTTAAAAAAACTTTCATACGCATTTAAAAAAAAAAAAAAAAATAAAAACATTTTTGAAAACCGCTCACTTAAACGCAAGAATTACCTGTTTTTTCAATGACATTCCCAGGCCTCACCTGCACCAAATATTTGGATCAATTAATTAATTCATACTCAACAATTTCACAATTGATTTTCAATAAAATATCCAAAATAAACAAAATTGATTATCACTTGCATGAGAGGCGTTGACTTTGACGCCACGATGTTGACTGACGGACCACGGGGAGCGTAGTAGACACGTGCCACCATTACTGTCGGCGGTGCTCCGATGACAGTCGGGTGACGGTAACAAGCTCGGTAACGAGCGCGAATAAGAAGGATTGAAAGTGAAGAGAGCGCGAGAGAGTCTCTTACTCGCTTCGAGAGCTCGCATTTTTTGTTTTGTTTTTGTTTCTGTACGGTCGAATTATGGTTTATGTAGGGGAGAGCAGAGGTTGAAGATAGATTAGAACGGCGTCGTACACCTGGATAGCAATTTGGCTTGACCCGCGGCTCGGATTCGGGTTTCGGTCGATGGTATTAACGAACGGGTGTGAGGTGATTAGGAAATTAATTACGGTGGGATTAGAATGTTTCATCCCAATCGTACCATTTTTTCCTCTAATGGACAATTTTAACCTCTTCGATTTTAGGCAATTAAAATCTCTATTTTTCCCCTTTGATTTCCATTGTTGTATACGCCTAAGATAATGTAATGCATGTCTTAGATTTGTTGCATCACAATGTTTGACGTTTAAACAATGCTATGTGTACTAACCAAATTATACTAATCCAAGTATTAACAATTGATTTTTTTTTTTAGTTTTTGGGGTGAACTGACGTGGAAATAAGAGAGGTCTGTCACGTCAGTTAATACTTCAGTTGTATGATTTTTGGTTAGTGCACATAGCATTATTCTTTCTAATGTTAGGAAACGTGTTTGGATTTTGGCGTATAATATGTTATTGGCTTCATTTCAACTTTATAGATTTTGTGATTATGTCGTTTAGGCCTTCAAAATACCCATTTACAGCTTTTAATTTTAATACCATTTAACAATGCCAATATTTCAAAACATTAGTGGTGAATTGAAGTTATATTTGTGAAGACAAAAGGAGAGAAAATAAAAAAAGAATGGAATTGAATTGGTGTAGAAAAGTAGTAGGTTTGTTGTTTGTGGATGATGATGGGATCCAAAATGCATAGTATGTGACATTTTATGATTTTTCAAGGTTTTAATCTTAAAAAAATCATTAAAAAAATATGCTCGTGCGAATTGCTTCTTTTTTCTTGCGTTTGGTTCCTTGCATTAATCTCCACCACCATAAAAAAAAAAGATCAAAAGGATAATCTCTGAAAAGATCGTACCTTTGTGTGCCGCACGCCCCTACGGTGCACCAAAGGAAGGTTTTTGTTGCACACCAAGGGTGTGCATACCAATTGTACATAGCACAATTCAAATAAGGATTTTAGGTGTACAACAAAAAAAACCATCAACCCAAAATGCACAGTATGTGATTTTTTTACGATTTTCCAAAGTTTTAATATTAAAAAATTCATTAAAAAAAATCCGCTAGTGTGAATTGCTTCCTTTTATTTGCGTTTGGTTCCTTGCATTTTTCTCCACCAACATGAAAAAAAAACAAATCAAAAGGACAACTTCCAAAAAGATTGTCCATTAGTGTGCCGCACGCCCTTATTGTGCACCAAAGGAAGGTTTTTGCCGCACACCAAGGGCGTGCACACCAACTGTATACACCACAATTCAAATGGGGATTTTAGGAGCACAACAAAACAAACGCCAACAAAAAATGCATAGTATGTGATTTTTTAAGATTTTCCAAAGTTTTAATCTACAAAAAATAATTAAAAAAAATCCGCTTATGCGAATTGCTTCCTTTTTCTTGCGTTTGGTTTCTTGCATTTTTCTCCACAAAAAAAAAAAAAAAAAAAAAAAAAAAAATCAAAAGGACAACCTTTGAAAAGATAGTCCCTTGGTGTGCCGCATGCCCTTGGTATGCCGCACGCCCTTGGTGTGCTGCATGCCCATGCCGTGCACCAGACGAAGGTTTTTGCTGCACACCAAGGGCGTGCACACCAACTATACACACCACAATTCAAATGAGAATTTTAGGAGCACAACAAAACAAACCCTAACCCAAAATGCATAGTATGTGATTTCTTACAATTTTCCAACATTTTAATCTTCAAAAAATCATTAAAAAAAATTTGCTCGTGCGAATTGCTTCATTCTTTTTGCGTTTGGTTCCTTGCATTTTTCTCCACCACCATGAAAAAAATCAGATTAAAAGGACAACCTCTGAAAAGATCATCCCTTGGTGTGCCGTAATCCCTTGCTGTGCAGCAAAGGAAGGTTTTTGCTGCACACCAAGGGCGTGCACACCAATTGCACACACAAAAATTCAAAGGCGATTTTACGACAACAACAAAAAAAACCATAACCCAAAATGCATAGTATGTGATTTTTTTACGATTTTTCAAAGTTTTCATCTTCAAAAAATTATTAAAAAAAAATCTACTCGTGCTAATTGCTTCATTCTTTTTGCGTATGGTTCCTTGCATTTTTCTCCACCACCATGAAAAAAGTCAGATTAAAAAGGACAACTTCCGAAAAGATCGTCCCTTGGTGTGCTGCACGCCCCTGCCATGCACCAAAGGAAGGTTTTTGCTGTACACCAACTGTACACACTACAATTCAAATGGGGATTTTAGGAGCAACCAAAACAAACCCCGACCCAAAATGAATAGTATGTGATTTTTTTTTTTTATGATTTTCCAATTTTTTAATCTTCAAAGAATCATTAAAAAAAATCCGCTCGTGCGAAATGCTTCATTGTTTTTGTGTGTTGTTCCTTGCATTTTTCTCCACCACCATGAAAAAAATCAAATCAAAAGGACAACCTCCGAAAAGGAAGGTTTTTGTTGTACACCAAGGGCGTGCACACCAACTGTACACACCACCACTCAAATGAGGATTTTAGGAGCACAACAAAACAAACCCGAGCCAAAATGTATAGTATGTGATTTTTTACGATTTTCCAACATTTTAATCTTCAAAAAGTCATTAAAAAAAATCCGCTCATGCGAATTGCTTCATTCCTTTTGCGTTTGGTTTCTTGCATTTTTCTCCACCACCATGAAAGAAAACAGATCAAAAGGACAATCTCCGAAAATATCGTCTCCTAGTGTGCCGCACGCACCTGCCGTGCACCAAAGGAAGGTTTTTGCTGCACACCAACTATATACACCACAATTCAAATGTGGATTTTAGGAGTACAACAAAACAAACCCAGACCCAAAATGCATAGTATGTAATTTTTTACAACTTTCCAACATTTTAATCTTCAAAAAATCATTAAAAAAAACTTGCTTATGCGAATTGCTTCATTCATTTTGCGTCTGGTTCCTTGCATTTTTCTCCACCACCATGAAAAAAATCAGATCAAAAAGACAACCTCTAAAAAGATCGTCCCTTGGTGTGCCGCACGCCCTTGCCGTGCACCAAAGGAAGGTATTTGCTGCACACCAACTGTACACACCAAAATTCAAATGGGGATTTTAGGAGCACAATAAAACAAACCCCGACCCAAAACGAATAGCATGTGATTTTTGACGATTTTTCAAATTTTTAATCTTAAAAAAAACATTAAAAAAAATCCGCTCTTGCGAATTGCTTCATTGTTTTTGCGTTTTGTTCCTTGCATTTTTCTCCACCCCCATAAAAAAAATTATATCAAAAGCACAACCTCTGAAAAGGAAGGTTTTTGCTACACACCAAGGGTGTGCACACCAACTGTACACACCACCATTAAAATGGGGATTTTAAGAGCACAACAAAAAAAACCCCGACCCAAAATGCATAGTATGTGAATTTTTACGATTTTCCAGCATTGAAATTTCAAAAAATCATTAAAAAAATCCACTCATATGAATTGCTTCATTCTTTTTACGTTTAGTTCCTTGCATTTTTCTCCACCCCTATAAAAAAAATAAGATCAAAAGGACAACCTTCGAAAAGATCATTCCTTGGTGTGCCGCACGTCCTTGCCATGCACCAAAGGAAGGGTTTTGCTGCACACCAACTGTACACATCAAAATTCAAATGGGGATTTTAGGAGCACAACAAAACAAACCCCGACCTAAAATGCATAGTATGCTATTTTTTTACGATTTTCCAAAGTTTTAATCTTAAAAAAATCATTAAAAAAATCCGCTCTTGTGACTTGCTTCATTCTTTTGTGTTTGGTTCCTTGCATTTTTCTCCACCCCCATGAAAAAAATCAGATCAAAAGAACAACCTTCGAAAAGATTGTCCATTGGTGTGCTGCACGTCCTTACCGTGCACCAAAGGAAGGTTTTTGCTGCACACCAATGGTGTGTACACCAACTGTACACACCAAAATTCAAATAGGGGTATTAGGAGCACAACAAAACAAACCCCGACCTAAAATGCATAGGTTGTTATTCTTTACGATTTTCCAAAGTTTTAATCTTAAACAAATCATTAAAAAAATCCGCTCGAGCGACTTGCTTCATTCTTTTGCGTTTTGTTCCTTGCATTTTTCTCCACCCCCATGAAAAAAATCAGATCAAAAAGACAAGCTCCGAAAGGATCGTCCCTTAGTGTGCCGTATGTCCTTGCCGTGCACCAAAGGAAGGTTTTTTCTGCACACCAATTGTACACACCAAAATTCAAATGGGGGTATTAGGTGCACAACAAAACAAACCCCGACCTAAAATGCATAGGATGTTATTTTTTACTATTTTCCAAAGTTTTAATTATCAAAAAATCATTAAAAAAATCTGCTTGTGCGAATTGCTTCATTCATTCTACATTTGGTTCCTTGCATTTTTCTCCACCCCATGAAAAAAATCAGATGAAAAGGACAATCTTCGAAAAGATCGTCCCTTTGTGTCCAGGCGTGCACCGAAGGAAGGTTTTTGCTGCATACTAAGGGTGTGCATACTATAATTCAAATGGGGATTTTAGGAGCGCAACAAAACAAGCCCCGGCGCAAAATGCACAGTCTGTGATTTTTTACGATTTTTCAAAGTCTTAATTTTAAAAAAATCATTAAAAAGAAACCACTTGTGTGAATTGCTTCATTTTTTTTCTTTTGGTTCCTTGCATTTTTCTACACCACCATGAAAAAAATCAGATCAAAAGAACAACCTCAAAAAAGATCATCCATTGGTGTGTCGTATGTCTGTGCCGTGCACCAAAGGAAGGTTTTTGCTGCACACCAAGGGCCTGCACACCAACTGTACACACAAAAATTCAAATGGGGATTTTAGGAGCACAACAAAACAAACCCCGACCTAAAATGCATAGTATGTTATTTTTTACGATTTTCCAAAGTTTTAATCTTCAAAAAATCATTATAAAAAATCAGCTTTTGCGAATTGCTTCATTC